CGGAAAGAATAAACCAGTTTTATTAAGGAAGGGCTTGTGTCGCTAAAGGTTCGTCGGAACGAAGTTACGGAAAACAATTAACAAACGGAGACGTAACAATATACTATGTTGTTGTTGGCCTTAGGATTCATCTATAGGAGGTGTCTGTGACTTGTTAGCGATAAATTCAACGATGAATAAACAGCACGCAGTTCACTTGTTTTCAAAATAAGATATATATTCAGAACAAGTTAACGTATGTACAATAACTTCTTCAACACTATAGATATTATGGACATATCATATTCACTCACAAAAATAAATTAATCACTAATATCTAAACCAAACAGTCTTTCATATCGTGACATATAAATATGTGTAGTTCTCTTCTTGTTGTCAAATATTTACTTAGGCCTGTTCAGTTACTTTAGAATTTCAGTTGACAAGCCGAATTATCTTCTATATTTCTATCGCACTAGTATTCTCTGTGATTCACTTACAATTGTGGCACGAGTTACCATAATCGTTTGGTCTTCTTTCTTTTGAAGATCTTCTGCTCCTGCACTCAAGATTATTCAATTACTTTAGAACAACGCTTTGACGGAATAAAATTATTGTTCTTATCTTATTTTCTACTGTTAGTTTCACTCTAACATATTAAGCGTTAGGTCTATCACTTCTACAGTAGTTAACTTCACACTAACTTTATTCTATTTTGCTATTATCTGTCTGTTGCTTCCCGCTTGTCTCATGCTATTGTTACGTCTCCGTTTGTTAATTGATTTTCCGTAACTTCTTTCCGACGAAACTTAATCGACACAAGTCCTTTCTTAATAAAACTGGTTTATTCTTTCCGAATATAACCTTTACCGATACACTCAACTTCAACAATCGCGCTAAAACAAACGCTATATCAAAGAACGTCAATAATACTTCTGACTGCAGATCAATTACACACTGTCTATACACACATTTTTTTTCGCGTCTCGTTGTCCCATCTTATATATACCGGTCTACCCTCTATCCAGTAAATACTAGAGCATTCGCCAAAGTACAGGATAGTTCTAGAACGTGGCGTCACAGTAGTCATGTGACTCGATGACGCAACAGTATTATTTGTTGGCGAAGCATGAAGATTTAGCTGTCCCTAATTTTGAACCATTGACCAGAAGAAAGGCGGCCAGTCAGAAACATCCACCATCAGAATGGATTTGTCAAGTTTTGACAAATCCGGGGATTGACTGTCACTCTTATAATACACTCACAGCTGAAAGTGTAGAGCATTTTTTTAGCGGCATCACGGTGCAATCTTTGGAATTTATAATCCCTAGCTCATGAAACTAAAATTTAGGCAATGTCCACCCAAATAAGGTACTAAACACTAGTCTTTCTAATTGAAAAAGGTAACATTCATTAGCGTATTTCACTAACCTCGGTGTGTAATTTTCTCACATAACATAACAGCAACTTATAATTTTCATTTATTTATTATTCCATTGTAAAATCAGGCACCTACAAATTTTCATTTACAAATGAAATGCCGTCTGGTGACGCGAATAGCTAAGTCTCGTAAAATCTCGCAATAAACTCTCAAACAAAAATTACCTTATCACAGTTCTTACTGTTGGTGAGTTTTATATTTTGTATGTTACCTGTTTAACTTTTTTAAACCTCATATGTTCGTTAAACATTATTTTCAATTTGTTAATCAAAGATTGCATTGAAATAGCTAAGTATGTATTATAGTTATGGATTTGACAACTATTGAACATTTGTGTGTAGGCCATATGTTATTGTCAACACTGAGTCAGTGAGTGTTAGTGTTACAACTTACAGTGTTAATGTTAATCTTAATCATGAATGTTATTATTAATAAGTGTTACTGTTAACATATATTGGTATAACAATTAACTATATAAATTTATACTTTATTTTTAGATTACATTACTACTAACGTTATGAAAAGTTATAGGGCTAAGTAAGAAAATAAGCGTAGTAATAATTAATTAGAACTTTAGTCTTGAGTAAGTTTAAACTTTAAGTAATGTATCTTTGTAACGTTTTATAATTTCTGTTAAACTATGTATAGCCTAATGTTCTACTATAGGCTTTCCTCTCAAGTTACAACGAAGACTGAAATGTAATGGACCTTACCTAACTCGTTACCTAAGTTAAGACTTGGGTAACAAGTAAGGTAAGGTCTATCAGTATTACTATTACTACTGTATTAATGTCTATTCATAAAAATAAAATCGTCAACCATGAATTTGAAAAGTTTCAGTATAGATTATATATCCTACATAGAAACTTGAAAGTTTAAAAAACTGTACTTAATCCACAGGATATGCATATATTTTTTATATATTTTATTCATATATTATTGTTTTTCACTAATTGTTACTTTTAGTCAAATATTTTTAATTCTCTGTAATTTTTTAATAAAATGGAATGGTACTGTAAATCATAATATAATGTTTCATTAGGTGCATATGATGATGAGTAAACAAATAATAATTATAAGTATAATTGCTATTTATAACCAAAGATAAAATACTCATGAGTTATATTTTGTTGTAACTTATGATAGTAAATATGTAACAAATCTTAGGATATCCATAGCATAACTTGATATTGTAAGAATATACATTATAACCATGGTATTTTTGTACAATTGGTTTGGCCAAAAAACAAGAAAAATGCCAGAATGTTTAAAGGTATGAGCATATGACCTTGTAATTGTAATAGGAACTCGCATAGCAAGTTTATTGCTAAGAAAAGAAAGAATTTAAAACAATGAATAATGTGTTGTATATTATGTTAGTTTTCTGATAATGCATTGAGGCAGTTTATATATATGTGGCTTAAATGTACTGAAGAGCAAGAAGACATAAAACAAGACTACTTAAATGCATATCAATGTACTGATATTCTTTCTAGATGGATACATGTTACACATTTAAGCAGGAATGTATTCTTGTAGTTGATGATCAGAACCAACTAGATCTTATAAAGACTAAACTGTGGTAAGATTTTTTTACCTGTGATTATATTTTATTATTAAATCAGGTGAGTTTTTCTATTGTTGTTATTGATGATGCCATAAATGTAAAAAATCATTTCTCCAGATCAGTTAATTTCATAATTTAAAAAAAAATCTTAATAGCAATTACCAGTTTCTTACTATAAACCAAACAGTAACTTTACGAATCAATAAATTTGTAAGTTATTCAGTCTGAACTATTAATATTATAATTATAATTTTGAACAAAAAATTAACAAGGTTGTTATTTTGTGTTAAAATTAACATAATAAATTCCTGTTAGTTTATAGATAATATTCTTTTACACAGTATTGTACTTTTCATTTCATTGAAACTATATAAAATTATAACATTGCTTAATGCAGCTTTTTTAGTTTTATGTCATTGTGCTTGTACAGCAAAATTCTTGAAGGAAATTCTTGAATATTTTCACTCTGTCTTCTGTTTCATCACCCACCTTTTTTACTTTATATTAGTGTAAGTTGCTAGTTTTAAATTGTTTCAGTATATCTGGTAGTAATAGTGTTGAGTTTAGTGGCCATTGTATAAGCAGTTTTGGTTTCAGAATAAATTTGTTCTTCACCCGTTTTTTGTATCAAGGGTGAAGAAAATCATTAGTTTAAGTCCAAATGCTACCTTTTATGTAGAAAAAAGTATTTACATATTAAAATGATAATAGTTAATGTGAAAATTTGATTACACTGGTAATTACAATTAATTGAGATAGCTGTGATAACTGTACAATTACTATAATACCATTTCTTTTCAGTTTTGCATGTTTCAATAAGTTCTCAAAATTACCTAAAAATTTTTTTTTATAAGGCTGACATTTTATCATATTACCATTTATAGAAAGCTGCTGAGAAAAAATGTTATTAATAATCAATGATCAATCAAGGTCAAAATGTATAAATTTCTTTACTTAGGGAATAAAGATTACAAATGCTGGATCAAGGATATGAGAGACGCTTATTAAGACAACAGAATGGGCAAAGTAGCATTCTCTCACCTGTAAATTCAGTAAGTTTGTAATTTAATTTTTTTGTGTAAATGCTAGCTTACAAGAAAAAATAAGGAAAGGTATTGGAATTTAATGTATAATTAATATTGTGGTATTATGCCTGCCCACTTCAGTAATTTTAGTTCATTATTTTTGGTTTGTTTTGAAAGAATGTGGGTGACTAAAGCTTTGTATTAATGAAGTGTTCAGAGGTTATAGTGTTAAATTGTTTAATAGAAATATAATTCAGTGTTGTTTTGAGTATGGCATTAAAGTATATTCTTGGTAATAAAACATAATTGTATGTGTTGCTGGTAAGTTCATTTGTACGTCATAATTTTTTTTCAGCCAATTTCACATCGGAACTCTCTTACTTCAATCATTTCACCTTCAAAAGACAGTTATGGTGATCGCTTCATTCCATCTAGGGCAGGAGCAAATTGGAATACCAGTTTTTCAGTGATACAGGTTTTTACTTTAAGCAGTTTATTTGCTTGTTTGTAGTTATACTTTTTTAAAATATTTTAGAAGCCAGACTTTTGCTAGATTAGACATTCTGTATTACAATATATTAATTAAGTATTTTTTAAAATTTTACTGTACAAATATTTGAAAATGTTGGAGAATTCAGTTTGAAGGTATATTTATTTTGTATTTTCAATGTAATGAAGCTGGTTTATTACCATGATATAAAATTTTATTTATACTTAGCTTTAACCTTGTACAAAGGTTAAAATTTAACATTGAACAAAAGAATGATTAAATGGTATTATGGTTTGTTTATAGTTTAAAATGTTATTGTGTAGTGTCATATATATGAACTGTTTTATTTTGTATGTAATTGATTATATTGTGTGTTAGGTTCTTTTGGCTGACATATACAATACTTGATAGAGAAAAATAAAATGCTGTTTTTAATGATACATTCTAGGATAGTAGCAAGTCACCAGGACAGACCAAGAAAGCTAAAGATGCTACAGCAGAATCAAACAAAGATGGTATAGCATATAACTGTTTGTTGAAGAATGAATTACTAGGAGCTGCCATAGAAGATATCAAGGTTAATGAATAAATATATTACTATTATAAATATAATTGTGAAATTTTTAAGCAAAGTATACAGCACCTAGAAAAATATGGATTTGAAATGTAACTCCAAGAGGACTTCATGAAATATAAGTCAAAACATAAATGTTATGTCCAGATAATTACAAAAAATGCTATATATCTACTAATTTATATAGAATGTTTGATGTAAAAGATAACATTGGAATGAAAGAACAGTAAAGCAAGTTGTTTAAAAAAATCTTTATAGAAATAAAAGAAACTTATGCATGAAAGTCATTATGACCACTAGACTTCTGAAATTTTAACATAGGCCTATTGTGAATGTTGTATATTTTTTGTGTATGTGTGGTGAAGTAATTTTCAAATTACAATGAACATTTGATAAATCTGATGCACTTATTTTTGATACTTGTAATAGGAACAAACAGAAGAAAGGAAAGCTTTCTCCCCAGTTGATAGAAAAAACCTTTTTCAGGTTTGTTTTAAAGTTCTAATGAGATAAGTCAGTGATATTTATGTAGTGTTATTAATTTAACCCTCTCACTACAGGCAGGTCAAAGTCTTCATGTTACGACTTTTTAGAGAGCTACATTCAAAATTTAATTAAACTACTTTATTATCATAGTATATGAATAAACTTGGCATCAAAATGTAGTTAATAATCCAAATTTTAATATTATGCAAGTTTTAATTCTATAATGAAATGTTTAAAAACATCCTCAATGTCCCTTAGTATGAGAATTGTGACATTTGCTCTCTAGGTCTTCTCTAATTTACCATCCCTCCAAGAAGTATGGAATTTAGTGTAAATTATCCCTTATAATATTGTTATTATTCAGGCAAAGCATAATTTTTATAGCTTTCTACCATATTTGTTTATGGACACATAAACTAGAAAACCAGACCTACTTGCCATGCCCACCTGCCGCATTCTCTCTTTCACAAATTGCCAATAGTTTTCTCTGACATTTATTACTATATTAGTTATAATCAATAGAAAGCCAAAGTTTTAATCTATCAAATGACATATTATACTTTGTTGTTTTCTGTACAGAGAATTGTTTACTTTGCTTTCAGCTCAAACTTTATTCTCATGAGAAACACATTGACTAGTTTAGCTGAATTTTTAATGGCTTTTATCATATAGTTAGAAAGTCAGAAAAATTATGATAGTTATAGGACATTGTCTGCTTTTTACTTGTTATTATTCTATGTTTTAGGTGCATTATCTAATTCAATAAAAAATTATTTAGTGTATTAGTACCATTAGTATAAAAATGTAGGGTTAAATTTCATCAACAGTCAACAGCAAAAAAAAAGAAGACCCAGGTAAGTACTATATTTCTTGTTTTTTCGTGTGTATTTGTTATTTATCACTATAAAATGTAAAAATTAGAAACTTACTAGGTTACATATGGTAAGATAAAGAATAATAAAAATTTTCATTGATATATGCTTGTGAGTAGCTTCTGCATTCTGTAATTTGATATGGTCAGGTGAGCTACAAGTTTGAGTGATTTACAACATATGTTGTAGGGTTTTAAGTTAGACGTGTTTCAAATGGCAGTACCACAATAAAATTTAAGTATAAACAGATGTACAATGTTTGGTGCTTCAAGCTATATAGGTTAAATAAATGTACTTTCCTGTTACCATTTGAAGCCATTTTAGAAATAAAAAGGTAATTTAGGTTTGTTTCTTTTTTCTGGTGGTTATGAGGTCAGACAAATTGGGTGACCACATATAGAGTTAGGATAGAGAAAATAACATTTTTGCTGAAAAAAAAAAGTTTGAAATTTGTGTAGGAGGTTTTACAGATTACGCAAGTGAAATCTGATGAAGAAAAGTATTTTTAATCTTGACATGAAAATCACTTTTCACTTGGAGTAGTCAACACTTTGACTCAGTATATTCACAGAGAAATTTTTGTAAAAATACTTTATTAAAAATTCTGATACTTTGTCAAAAAAAGATTTCTAATGTTTACTGAAAGTTTATGAAGTTACACAACACATATTAAATGTTATTGTATGGAAGCTGTAAAGGTCAATTTGAGGTCACGAACATGTAGCTCACATTACCTTATTGAATTAAGTAAGGCACTACTCATGAGCTGCTCATGAATGTACCTTAGAGGGGTGGTAAATAAATTAGAGAAAAGGGAAGACCTAGATAATGAATGTCACATTTCTCGTACTAGGGGAAATTGAGGATTTTTTTTATATGACCTTATAAAATTAAGAACTTAAAACTTATATGATATTAAAATATGGATTATTAACTACATTTTGACGCCAAGTTTATTTGAATATCCTGACAATAAAGTAATTTAGATAAATTTTGAATATATCTTAGTAAAACCTCATGACACACAGAAAATGATGCTTGTATGGAAAGAGTTAATACAAAATAGAATACCTTTTAGAAACTAAGTAAAAAAGATAATTTATTATCTCATTATCTGAAATGCAACTCTCATTGTGTTAGTTGATAAGTGACTAATAAAGTAAAGTTTTGAATTTTGTATATTATCAAAATTGATTGTTATAGTTGATAGAATATTATTTTCAAATCAAGTTCTAATTCTGATAATAATCTGAATGTTTTATACATTCTCTTCAACAGTTTCGGATTAGGCGAGGTAACTCCCTGGATGAGCCTTCCTCACCATACTCTATATCTCCAGTCAGTAGCAAAAGTCAAAAGTTGTTAAGATCTCCAAGAAAGGTTATTAAATTTTCTTGATATATTTTTCTGTCCATTTGCAAAACCTTCCTTTTTTCTTATTTGTCAGCATTCTTCATTGGTACTGACACAAGTAAGAAGAGTGATATTGTTAATGTGCAATAAATGCATGAGACAAGCATACAATTTTACATGAATCCAGTCAAATCCATGTAATATTGAATGCAAATGTCATATGATATTAGATCTTGTTGTACTGTTAGGGAATTTGATACATTCATCAAGCAACAGATGGTTATCAATAAGGAGAATAGCGAATTCCAAAACATACTTACCTCCACTCACACTACAGCTATTACGCAACTACTAGGGATTTTTCCTTTGCCCATCTAAGCAGTGGTCTGATTTTTACTCGCTTACCCCAGTCTTTTATTCCTCACTTAATTGCCCTTGGCAATATCTGTCTCATGACACTCCACCTATGTCAATGTACTCTCTATCTTGGTACTGTATATAAGCACTTTCTTTTGATAATATTATCACTTTTTTCTAAAAAGTGTTCATTAACAGGTTTTCTCTGTACTACGACTGTTGGAGATATTTTGAGCATTCTTCGTGTTACCCAGTTGATTTTCTTTAAAAACAATTAGTTTTTTTTTGTTTGGCACGCTAGTATACGGCATGAATTCCCGGATTATTGTTTCCAGCATGGAGGCAAATCAGGTCTCTACTATCCCACATCTGATACCTAGTGTTGCTTAACATTCGAGGGAGGGAGTCACTCTTGGTTGAGACTGTCCAACACCTTTGTAGTGAGATGAAATCGTTTATTTGTTCCGGGGGGTGTTTCTCTGAGGATGCATTTGAGGGCGATCCTAGACATTCTGGAGAGAATTGAGATTTGCTTTTTCCTGTGCCTTCTATTATTCTGTCAGCTTCTCAGGAGGCCACATTGGGATCAACCACTTCCGGCTTTTTTGCTTCAGTTGGTCCATCAAGTGGTGTTTGGGTCTTTTCCTGGGTTGCTTTTAAGCCTGTTCCTTCCTTGATGGCTGAAAGGTCTGAGAGCGAATACTTAGTTCTCCCTCCATCCACTGATATTGCAGTTCATGCAGAGAGATTTACTGCTTTATCCCCCATGTTTGTCAGAACTACATGATTTAGCCTACTACCTCCAGGTGGATACATATTCCAACTCTCAAAGAATAAACCTGCTCCTAGAAATTTGGGGTTCTGGAATGGAGTCTGTAGTCAACCTGGTGGCATCAATTGTCTCAATCCATACTTATTCTCCCAACAGAATGGATGTTGCATTGTGGGGTTTTTCATTGGATTTGCTTGTTCCAACCCCTTATCGAGGCCTGTTGATAGCACTGGATTGGCGACTAAACCCTGGTTTCCACTTCTGTGATACCTTCAGGAGTGCCACCTCTTCCACTTTATCTTTGCCTATCTCTGTTGAGGCAGTCAAGATCTTACATCGTACATCCAGCCATCCTGAAGTTCCAGCTTCAGACATGGAGGTTATGTGGTCCTTCTCATGGCACCGGGGTTTAACTTCTAAGATTGCCATGTATCCGTCTCAGTCTTTGTATAGTCCCACAATGCATGTTTACCAATGGGAATGGACAATGGTGTATGGAGAGGAGGTTGAATCTACTTTGTCCAGAAGTCCCAACAATAACTCATCTTTTGACCTGGCTCTTTGAAAAGGGTTTTGAATCTTCCACAATCGCCTTATATATGGTAGCCTTATCAACTACGTTTAACTACTCAAGCCATTAATTATTTGAATCCACATTGCTCTCCAGCCTCCTCGAGTTGTTTTGGGCTCTTCATCCCAAACAACCATTTCAGTTATGTAACTGGTATTTTTAGGTGGTGTTTCATGCTCTTTCTCTACATCCATTTGAGACCTTAGCTTCATGTACCATGTATTACCTTTCCCTTAAGATTTAATTTTTGTTGCTGCTGGCTCGCATACATCGCTAAGGGCAATTAAGTGGGGAATATAAGACTAAAGCAACTGAGTAAAAATCAGACCAATGCTTAGATGAGCAAAGGAAGAAACCTTAGCAGTCGAGTAATAGGTGTAGTGTGAGAATAGGTGAGTATTATTGGAAATACATTTTCGATTTAAGAAAATGTTAACTTTTGTAATAAAAAAAGCTGAGAGAAAGTTATGTATAATTCATAGGTTTTTATTATAGACTAGAACTAACATTTTCCTTTCATTGTTTAATAGGCAGCCAGAAAGATTTCCAAAATTCCCTTTAAAGTCCTTGATGCTCCTGAGCTACAGGATGACTTTTACTTAAACCTAGTTGATTGGTCTTCATCAAACATTCTGAGTGTAGGATTAGGAACATGTGTTTACCTGTGGAGTGCATGTACATCTCAGGTTACAAGGCTGTGTGACTTGTCTGCAGATGGAGACTCTGTAACATCGGTTTCCTGGGCAGAAAGGGTGAGTATCTTCAAGGGGAATGATTGTACCAGTATTTGAAACTTCTCAATGTTGTGCTTGTGTTGTTATCATAGTAGTTTGTTTATATCAATATTATAGTATTTAATATTTTATAAACGTGACTAAGAAGCTATTCTTTTTTTAGTAAATTGGTTGGGTAGAAAGATCAAAATGGATATTAAAAGTTTGCTTAGTCTCGTGTAATATATATTTAAAAAAAGACCACTCATAGGGAAACAGAACACTGAAACTAATAGTGCTGCCCACCCCTACCCAAAGGCTTTTTTGTAGTAATGTAAATTTTGTTCTGATAGGACTTGTTGTTTGTGGGCTCATATTTTTGAACTTTGTTAATTTTTTGTTGTTTTTGTATTTATCTTTGTAACCCTAAAATTAGCAGTCAATGTATAGATATTGCCATGTTTTGATGAAAACTTAAGAAAAGAGAAAATCTCCTAGATCAATTCTTCATATAAACTTTGCATAAGTTTAGGATTTGGTCTTTTGTTTCAAAAAATGCAATGAAAATCTTAAAAGGATGAAAAATCTCCCCAAATCAGAGTACTTTTGCTTAGGGCCATTCCATTTTGACCTTAATTTACACTGTAAGAATGGTTTTCAACATATTCATAACATTCAGGACAGTGCACACACACAGTAGAAAGAGCATTAAGCATTCTTCAACTATTTCTTATGACTTGTTGGTTAAGATCTGATCAATCATATCTAAGTGTGTCAACCACTGGATGATCTAAGACAGTGAAAAGGGTTACAATGAGAAAAAAAGTACCTTACTCTTGCCATTCTTTCTGTTTCATAGATTTCTTGTCCTTATTTGATTGGATTCTAATAGATTTGGGTGACCTAACCTCTATTTCTGATTGCTTTAATTTCAACAAGAACTCTGTCGTAACCATATCCACAATGTTTGTATTTCATGTAAATGTCATATCTTTCAATGTTGTACCTGCAACATAGATCAGGGTAAACATATCTTTTCAGACATTTTCCCAGTTATATTGACTAGGTTAGCACTGAAAGCAGGTCTTCTATAGGATTACTTTACAAAAAAAACAATGGACATTACCAAATTTTAACACAAAGGGGGAAAATTAATTTTAAAATGAAGATTTCTCTGCAAGAGATGAATTAATAAGCTCAAAAGTTGTATTGTTTGAAAGCACTAATTTGTCATTGAAAGGCAGTTATATTGCTTTTTTATCATTTGCCAGAATCTGATGACCAAAAGAGCCACTAATTTGTGTACAATTGACTCTCAGTTGAAGGGTAAAAAAATTGTGCTTCAATTTGTGAATATTTACACATTTACTTCCATTTCTGTTAGTTTGATATTTATGCAATTAAATATTTTTTTTTATCCTGTTACTGCATATTTATTGATTGTAAGATTCAATTGCATTAATAAACATTTTAGGGAGAATAGCTATGCAATGTAATTAAAGCAATAATATTTTTTTCTTTTCTAAATATATGTTTGACTACATTATTAGCATTTGCATTATAGGGCCACTTGGTGGCTGTAGGTACACATAAAGGCTATGTTCAGGTGTGGGATGTAACAGCTAACAAAAGAATATCAGTACTTGAGGGACACTCTGCTCGAGTGGGAGCATTAGCCTGGAATGGAGACATTCTTTCATCTGGAAGTCGAGATCGATTGATTTTGCAGAGGGATGTGCGAACACCATGTACTGTGCCTGACAGGAAACTAGCAGGTCATAGGCAGGAGGCAAGTTATATCTGTCATTCTAACTCTTTGTTAAGAATTTAGAATTTTATATTTTAGATTAATGAGGTTTGTTCATTTAAAGTTCTAATCAATTTGTGTAGTAATTAGGAAATTTGGTGTTTCATGAGCCACACTAAGGAAAGTGTGTAATAATATGTTTGAAGGTGTGCATGTGATAAGCTAACTTTACAGATATATTAAAAATATCATTAACTATGGAGACAAAGTTAAGTGTATTTGAGTTGACTGCAGCTCTTAGGATGGCATATAACATTGGCACAAGAGGCATAAAAGTTAAGTATGTGAAACCTTTAATGTTAACCATAGGATAACTGACGGAAATCCCTATTGTCTTCATCACCTTTTTAAACACATTTTTTAAGGTATTTATGCACCGAATTGTTTGTAGGCCCAAAAACTTTCAACAAAAATATGAAAAGCATTGCTGTTAATTCCACTAATTACTTCTTGGGCTTATAATTTATTTTATGTAGAAAATAAGTAATTTTGCTTGAATATTTGTTTTAGGTTGTTTTTTTCTTATAACATACTCTGCACCTTAACTAAATGATTTGTTTTAATATAATTGGTTATTTTGTCACTAACATAACATACAGTTATATATATGCTTACTTTATGTTTATTTCATTCCTTTTTGAAGAATATGATTAACTCGGTTTGTTTTGTTTTCCTAATAATTTAACTAGTATGTAAAGCAAATCATATTGTGTTCATTAGGAAAATGGCATGGAACCCAATTTGTACAGTTTTTAATTAGACTGTTTTTCTTTTAAATACTTAAATGTTTACACTTTGACTGCCATCCAACTTTTACAGTACTTCTCCAGTTGTACTTGTCCCAGCATTAATGTGATGAATGCACTCATGGCTCCCAGGAAAGAAATACCACAAAAACAAACATGTAAAAATCAAAATTTTGTCTGGTGAAGGCTATTCCAAGGACAGGCAGAGACCATGTTTTGTGTTTCTGTAGGGGCTATATGGAAACTGAAGGAGGTACATGAAACTAATACTGTTGATAATTGAAGTAGTCAACTTAGAAAACCAAGATTCTTCAAAAGTAATGATAACTGTGGGCATGGTCTTTATGTGATACATTAAAATCTAGTACAGGTCTTGTCAGTGACTTAACTGAAAGTACAAGTATGAATGTTATCTCCAGAACAGTGAATACCCTTTAGCACAGAGTGGCCTCATTGGATATGTAGCTGTTCAAGAAACACAGCTAGGAAAGTTATATAAACCAAAAGGCTGAAATGGGAATTAGATTTCAAACAGTGGGATGAGTCAAGATGGAGGAGGATGCTCTTTATAAATGGATTCATATTCAAATTGTTTGGCAACAATCAGTGATTGTTTGATATCAGAAAGGAGAATAGTGTTGTGTTCAACACACAAAATATATTGTGAAGTACATTCAAGGACCATTATTAGTACGAGCTGCTACTCGGCCAACAGTATTGGAGATCTACACAATATTAATGACACTGTTACAGTTGAATGATACTTTCAGATTTTTATCCATTGCGTCATTCTCTCAGAATCAAACCTGTTGTGCAGGGATTCATCTTCCAGAAAGACAGTGATCCCAAGCATACAGCAATTGTGAACCAGTACCCAGAAGGAAAAAGGCTGATTTTTACACAAAACTATGGTTTGGCCTATACAGTGTCCCAGTATATGAAACCTATTTAGGTTTAATAACTTGTATGGAAATTGAGAAGATCAAAGAACAACCAAACATTTTGACTGAATTGTTTAGAGGAATAAAGGACATTTGGAAGATGGCTTTACAGTGATACATTAATAAAATTGTGGAAGCCTAGAAATAACATTTACAGCTCTATTTAATGCAAATATAAAATACCAATGCACTGTACAACATTTCTTCTTTTGCATTTTCTATAATAATGTACTGTACTACTTGCAAATATTTTTGAAAATCCTGTTGTGTGTGTGTGTCTATGTATGTGTATGTATATATATATATATATATATATATATACACACACACACTACATGTAATGTATAGTGTTATATAATAATAAAATTAACAATATTAGAATTGATTGTGGAAATGCACAGATGAAACACAAGCATGTGTGTGTGTCTATATAGACACACACACACATGCTTGTTTTGTTTCCTGTAACTAATAGCAAAATCACATTGATATCTATTTCTTTAATGCTAGGTTTGTGGATTAAAGTGGTCGCCAGACAACCAACATTTAGCCTCAGGTGGAAATGACAATAAGTTATTTGTGTGGAGTCTTAATAGTGTAGTGCCTGTTCAGACTTATACTGAACACCTTGCTGCTGTAAAGGCTATAGCGTGGTCATCACATCACCATGGGCTCCTTGCCAGTGGTGGAGGCACAGCTGATCGGCGTATAAGGTTCTGGAACACCTTAACTGCTCAGCCAATGCAGTGTGTGGACACAGGGTCACAAGTGTGCAACTTAGCATGGTCTAAGCATGCATCAGAATTAGTGAGTCTTGTACTTTATGCCATTATTATATAATAACTGTTTTATTGTCCATTTTAGTGTAAATATGTCAAATATTAAGTTCTTTTTTTTTTTTCTGACAGAATAAAGATAATCAGTCCGGAATTTAATTTTCTTTAGTTAGTATTTGTTTTCAAAAATGCATATGAGTAGTATTTTTTTTTCAATTGTAATTTCATAACTTACAAAACTTATCCATTAATGTGATTGCTTAAATGTATCCCTAGGCATAACTCACTATTTAACTTGACATGTTAATAGCATACTTGGATGTTGGTAGGTGAGAGGAAGAATTGAAATGAAATTGATTATCAACTTTGTTTAATAGGTGAGTACCCATGGATATTCACAGAACCAGATTCTTGTGTGGAAATACCCTTCATTAACTCAAGTAGCTAAATTAACAGGACACTCTTACAGGGTATTATACTTGGTGAGTAGAGATATCATTTTACTGTCCATATATTTTTAGCTGTGGCATAGCTCCGTCATCTCTTGACTGATTTGAGATCTAATTACAGTTTTTGACTCAATTGATGTGTTTGACCATTCCCAAGGTCTCATAGTTTAATTTATTCTAATTCTGCTTAAAAGATTTTCAATTTGAGGGTAGGCTGGGAGAGATCCTGATGAGTAATAAAATTGAATTGGGTGTACGAACCCCACCCTTGGTATTGCTGGCATACAAAAATATAGCTAATAAATAGTTAAAAAAAGGTCTCATAGATTAATTTACTCTAATTCTGCCTAAAAGAATTTGAAGGGCCATGGCTATTGAAGATTCCCTTTTGTTTGTTTTTGCCAGTTGTACTCTTCTTTGACTGAAAAATTAATCCCATACTTATTTTTTCTGATAAAATCTCAAATTCCTCTCTACAGTTATAATTTCTCTTTGTTTTTTTTTTTCTATGGAGATTGAAGATTTTGAAATAGAATTTTATATTGCATAATTTATTGATGTAGTTTTTCATTTCCTTTTAAATTGAAATTCAAGTTTTATTTTGTGAATTACATTAGGGTGTTTTAGTACATTGTATAATTTATGCTAGCCTGATTAATAAGCAGATATGATGTCTTGTATACGTTTATTTGCAGCTGTTAATAGGGTGCGAGGTGATCTTATAGCAGAGCTCTGAATTTTCTAGCTGGTAAGCCTGGCTCATATCCACATACCACAAAATGTTCCTCACACATTAAGGTGTGAGTGCATTATAAAACTGACAGGCAATGCCTTAACATGAGTGGTAGGGTGCTGCTGATTAGCAGTTGTCTTCCCTCTGGTCTCTAGCCTTAATAGCTTTGCCATAAATACAAAAAATTATACAGTAACTAATACTGCATTGTGTTTAGTTGTCTGACTATAATATTTGAAACAGTCGGTGTGTCTGTTCAATTTCAGAGAAAATTAATGTAGTTTATGCAGAACATACAGAGGAATATTTTAATTTATACCAATTTTTGCATACTGAAATTGGCAATTGTTCTGTTTGTAAGTATAATTCTTGAAAAATGTCAAGCATGTAGTTCTATTTACATATAACTTATGTTCTGGAAGGTATATAGGAGAAACATCAAGACCTCTATTTATGTATAAATGAACACTTTGTTGATGTCAGATTTAGTAGAATTAACAAGTGATCCTGCTGAGAATATGACCAAAAAAATATGATGATGTTTACAATGCAAATGGTAACATGAATGCTGTGTTTTTAAGAATTTATATTATTAAAGTTTGTGGACAGGAAACGAAGGAAGTACTTTTGGTTGAAGAGTTAAGACCAACAAATAAATGGCCGTTAAAGCCTTTTCTTTATAATGCATTACTATTAAAAATACCAGTATCTCTTGCCATTTTTTTTAGATCTTCTTTCTACACTCACTGTAAAACTGTGTATAGGTCTGCCATCACTGTATTATTTCTACCACAGTTTTATTACTATTATCTTGCTCATATAATACTATTATGAATATAATTTGAAATAACACTGCTGTACATGTTTTATTTGATATGCAGTTATATGTTATTTAAGCATTAGTGTGTGTAATACAAATCTCTATTCTTGATGAAAAATAATGCTACAATTAAATACATTGTTATATTCAAAACCTCTTATGTACCAATGGTAGTAGGTGTGGTGTTATTCAAATCTGGCATAGAAAAATAACACACATAAATAAAATTATTTTAGTTGTTTTTTTTTATTTGACATGAGTACTGCTCTCCAGTTCACTATGCAAGCTTTAAAGGATTATGTTAAATATCATATTATCTCACAGGCAATGTCACCTGATGGTGAATCTATTGTCACTGGTGCTGGAGATGAAACACTGAGATTTTGGAATGTGTTCAGCAAGGCCAGGTCCCAAAAGGTATGTGTTTAGCTTTTCTTTCCATGTGAGAAAAACAGTTGAAAATCACTCAAGTTTAGTGTTGTGTATATTAGACATTTTCATTTATTTATTTGCTTTTGTTTTAATAATTCATATATTTGATAATGAAGTATTCCAAGGATGAAAAAGTTTAGGATTACTTGATATTTGTAATAATTGCAGATATGTGGACCTAGTATGCAGAAGGGCAGGTGTAGTGATTTGTTGTTGGTAAAATTAAAGATATAAGAAATGTTGGGAATTGGAATAAAACAAATATTTGATTTACTGAAAGAGACAAAACTGATGATTGGTTAATTGTACTGCTAATTGGGCCATTGGGTTGTTTTATTGACATTAACTTCTAGCAATCATTATCAGTACAAGATTTGATAAAGCTTTTACAAGCTCTCCATTGTGCAAACATTGCCTATGGTAAAAGATACAAATCCAACTCTCTATTGTATTCAGTTTCTTGATATGTTTTTATGCATATTGTTGAGATGATTTACAGTGTCACATAACATTATTTTAACCCTATTGCCCCGGGTATCCTTTACTGCGCATGACACAAGGTTTAATGTCTTATGTTTAAAATTTTATTAAACTACTTTTTGTTTATATTATACCAATTAGAATAGCATAAAATCTTAGCTAATAATCCATATTTTAATAGTATACAAGTTTTAAGTTCTTAATTCTACAAGGCAATATTTAAAAAAATCCTGAATTTCCACTAGTGTGACACATTTTTTCTTAGCGTGTCATCATCCCTATTATATCCACCACCCTTCGAAAAAGTATGAAATTAAATGTAAAATACTCTATAAAATCGTTATTGCTGAAACAAACCATAATTTTTATTGCATTCAATTTTGTTTGGTTACAGAGCTATTGAATAGAAAATCAGACCTCTCCTGCCACACCCACCTTTCACATCCTCTCTTTCGCAATTTGTTGATAGTTCTCTCTTACATTTCATTATATATTACCATTAAGTAATAGAAAGTCGATGTTTTCATTTATCAAATGATGTATTGTATACCTTTATGTTCTGAATGTTAACTCTTTGTAACCCGACTGCAAGAAAAAATAGATTAAGTATTTTATTTATTGTTTTTCATGTTTATTCTTTACGTATGATTATAAAAGTGACTACAGTATAAAAATATGGATCTTTTTAAGTTACTTAAAACTAGGTAAAATAACTAACAATAGTAATATAATTAAAATGATTCACGAGGCATGCATGCGAGCAGCTTGTGGGTACTGTAATTTGATGGCGTAACGTGAGCTGCATGTTCCCCTACTGATTTACAACTTATAATGGCAATAGTAATTAGACACAGTTCAAAGGCCAATAAAACAATAAAATTTAATTATGAATAGATGTATAATGTTACGAACTTAGAGCTATTTAGGATAAACGAAT